ATTATATATATATATATATATATATATATATATATATATATATATGATCTGATATCAATTGAAAACAATATTATCATAAAAAAATATTCCTTTTCTTTTTTAATTAATCATCTAATATATTTTTTATTTATAATATTTAAAATGTTCAAATTAAATTAAATTTTAATGTACGTTGAACACGTGTTATCCTTTTATAAAAATATAATTATAAAATAAAAAATATATCTTACATTTCTAAAAAATATCATAAAAAATATTGTTAATATTAAAAATTTCTTTCAATATTTTTTTCAATTTGTTATAAAAAAAAATACAAAAATCTTTTATGCATCAACGCAAAAATTTCATCAATATAAAAGCAATATGGAGTAAAACAGTCAATCATAGATATTAAATGTCAGTAAGAAATTCAAAGAAAATTAATATTTTTTTACAATATTAGTGAAAATTTCATATAACTTACATTTTTTAGGAAAATCTGTGTTATTTTAAATTCACAATTATAAAAATTTTCCTTAATAGAAACACAAACCAATGATCAGAATCAAGGAAAAGTATGCTCTACTCGTTACACGATTCGAAGAGAATCTGTGAAACAAATATCATGGCGTCGTATTATATTAGAAAATAGTTCCATTTTAGTTTTAATTTTACTATTTTTTGTGTATTATTACTTTAATATATATGTGAAGATATATTTTAATTACACATAAAATATATTATTTATTTATTTTTTAAATAATAAAATTTAAACATTAATAGTAAATATTTTATGACATAATTAAAATACCGGAAATTATTAATATTAGTACCGAATGTTTAAAGGAAAAATATACTAAAATAAAATTGATAAATAAATTTTCAATCTACTATTCTGTATTATTATAATTTATAAATAGAAACTATTCAGCGAAAATTTTATAAAAAATAATTTTATTAACATAATCTGTAATATAACAAAAAATGTAACTCAATACATTCAATTACATTCATTTAACACAAATTTTAATATATTATAATTCGTTTGTAATATGATATAATAAGATAAATAAAAATAAACGAATTTGTTTTAAATGTTGAATAATATCAATAAATATAAGATAAAATTTATTTAATAAAATTTCACAATAATAGATATTTTATATATATAAATTACTTATATAAAATACTTAAGTTTTCTACATACCATAAGGATGTATATATTTTATATTTTTTAAATTTTATATTTTATAAATTAGTTTTTCTACATGTCATAGAAATATATATATTTTGTATATATTTTATATATAAATTAGTTTATTTATTTAATAATTTCTAATAATTTTAAAAAGTTCAATAATAATTCAAAATAAATAAAAAGATTATATAATTATACAAAACAAGATTATACAAAAATACACAATAAAGATTTTTACAAAAATTGTTATCTTGATTTTTTCTAATCACAAATAATGCATATATAAAAGTAAAAACTATTATATACAAAAATACATATAAAAGTTAAAACTATTCTTTTTTTTTTTTTTTATTAAAATGTTTATAAACCTTGCAAACATAAAGAATAAGAAAATATTCGACACCTTTCCACAACGACATAGATTAAAGTAATAAATGAAAGATAGACAAAACAGGAAAAATTGTGAAATTAGCGCCATCTCTAGAATGTTATTGATATTTATCAAAAAAAAAAAAATAAAATAGAATAATTAAAGATTAGTGCTAGTTTTAAAGTATTTTCAAAGTCAATATTTTTTGCATTCAAAAAATAACACTTAATTCTTACACTATCTATAAAAAAATATTTTTGATATTCAAAAAATTTTAAAATTTTTACTTTATTTCTGTTTTTATTTCACTTTATTTATTCTTTTTGTTTATACATGTTCTGCAAAATTTATGCGTTTCATCAATTTTGTTTAATTTTATCTTCTTCCTTTTTCCTTTCCTTTTATTTAAAATATTGATTAAAAATTTTATTAAAATCTATTTAATTCAATTATTACATATCATAAATATATATTTACACAAAATATTAATATTGATATAATCATATAATGAATATTAAAAATAATATTATTTAATATTGATATATCAAATAAAATTATATATTATGTTATATATATTAATATTAAATCATTTTTTTATAAAGATTTTTTAAATTATTTCTTTCTTTAACACAAAATATAAAATTATAAATTATATAATAAAAATACAATTCGTTAATCTTAAATATTTTTTATTATTTTTTTGTATAGTGAAATTTAGTTTTTAAATTTTATAATAATACATATACATATTTAACAAACTTTTTTTTCATCATTATTATACTAATTTTTTTATCATGTATATATAAAATACATGATATTCAATTTTATTTCATATTTTATATATTTTTTATTTTAAATTATTTTAAGTTTAACACAAATTTAACTAACTGTAAATATACTATGTTTTAATAGTTTTTATAGTAAAATTTTATTTTACTATGTAAATATGTAAATATATGAATAGTGAGAGTATTATTAATATGTTGTTCCTCTATATTGATAAGTTCCATAATTATCTCCTCCTCCATAATTTTGAGCTAAATTACTTTGACTATAAGTTCTCTGTGTATATCCATATCCTGTATTCTGATTAGTTGAATTATTTTGCTTCATATTGCTATAGCTATTGTAATCTGAATTTGAATAATTGTTTGAAGTAGATTGATAAGAATTTCCTCCACGACCACCTACACCACCTCTTCCTCTTGTAGAACCTCTTCCTCTAGTATCACTGATACCTCGTCTACCATTACTTCTATCATTAGTTATAAATCGTTTGCCACCTTGCATAAGATAAATAAATGAGTTACGAAAAATTATTTAAATATTACATGAAAATATTTTAAAAACATACTTCTACTTCCATAAGTTCCTGATTTAGCTAATTCTGCCATTTCAGTAAGTCGTGGATTTATATTTTGCCCTGCTTCTCTTAATACTTCTATTAAATCTCCTGCATGTTTCATGTTATGACTTGTGAAGAATGCATAGGCGGTACCAGTTTGTCTTCTTCGCCCGGTACGACCAATTCTATGTATATAATCTTCTGATGATGATGGATAATCAAAGTTTATCACATATTTAACATCATCCACATCTATGACAAAATAATTAAAAAATATTAGAACTTTACTAATATTTATAATTATGTTCACATTGTTTATAATAATCATCACCCCATTTGTTGATTGTGTCAAGTTCACAGAATGATCTTCAAACTTGCGAAAAGTAATTATATGGAATGCTTAAGATTAAATATATAAAATGATTTCAAATATGTTAAATTATCATATATTATACAATTTTTAAAACTTTTAATTCTTATTGAGATGAAATAAAATCCCCTGATTTTCACTTAAACATAAAATTTGTCTAAGTCAGGTTTGAAAACCACCCACCTTTTAGTTGGAAATTCCATTTCAAAATCAGCAAAAACAGCCCCATTTACTTTTAAATGTAGAGCTATTCAGTTGGTTTCATAATGTATGATGGCCTAGAGATTAGACAGACACAGCGGTGGTGTCTGGTTTGGGATAAAGGCAGCATTTTAGGTTTAAGCCTGAATGCATTAACCTTTTTAGATTTTAAATAACAATTTTAACAATTAGAGGCACTAGAAAACACTTGAGAATAATTTGATATATCATAATAATAAAGTGAGTAGAAAAGATAAAAAAATAAATCTGATATTATTAAAGATAAATCTAATATTAGTACATATAATAAAATGTAAAAAGATTTTAAAAATTTATGATAATTAAAAATTTATGATAATTATGTTATTAGAAATATTTTGAAAGCAATTACAATATTATAAATTATAAAATAAAATTAAATAATTATATTAAATTCTTTAATTCTGTATTTAAAACACATTTGTAGAAATACATAATATTATGTAAGAATTTTTAATTTGAAAATATATTTTTTAAATATTTTGATATAGTTATCGATATAATACAAGCAAAGAAAAATAAAACATTCACTGTGTCTGCCCAATACTGGCAGTACACCGCGTTCACTTAGGGTACTCTGTGCCTCTGAAAAAAAAAGCAGACAGTCTTAGTGGTAGCTTGTGTGCATCTCTTTAGAACCCTTTATATAAATTTTATTATTAAAAAAATATAATTTAAATATTTACACTTATAAATCTTAAATATTTTATTAATTATAAAAAAAATACAAACCTGTTTAAAATATATAATACCATAAAATATGAAAATAAAGTAAAAATTGAGTTTAATCTATATACATTATCAGGGCTCTGCTATAAAAAAATTTTAATAAATCACACATTGCTACATACACAGCTGTCCACTGGTCTCATTAATAACGCATCACTGGCTAATCCAATAAGTGTTGCCAATTCCCATATTTACCTGATTCTTGAATGATCTAGACACTGTAAATTAAAAAAATGATACATACCTAAACCTCTAGCAGCTACATCTGTTGCTACTAAAATAGGAGCTCTTCCACTTTTAAATTCTTGTAATACATGATCTCTTTCTTGTTGATTTTTATCACCATGAATACTCAGTGCTTGCCATCCATCTCGTCTAATATTTCTTGTAATATCATCTACTTTTCGTTTTGTTTCAACAAAAATGATTGTTTTATTTTCTTTTTCATTTCCTATTTCTTGAAGTAATCTATATAATTTTAAATCTTTTTCGAATTCCTGACAAACATCCACAATTTGAATAATATTATGATTAGCTGATAAAGTTAGAGAACCAATATTAAGATGCATATAATCAGATAAAAAATCTTCAGCTAATGCTCGAACTTCTTTAGGCCATGTAGCTGACCACATTAAAACTTGTCTATCAGGTCGAATTTGTTCAATTATTTTTCTTATTTGAGGTTCAAAACCCATATCTAACATTCTATCAGCTTCATCTAATACTAAATATGTGCATCTAAAATTATAATATTATATGTTAAAATGATATCATAAATTAATATAATAAATATTAAAAATATTTATTTTAATATTATTAAATATTATAATTATTTTACCTGCGTAAATTTGTAGTTCCTCTTTCTAAAAAATCAATAAGTCTACCTGGTGTTGCAATACATATTTCAACACCTCGTTCTAGATCATGTGCTTGTGGACCTTTGGGTGCACCACCAAAGATGCAAGTATTTCTTACACCTGCTGCTTCTCCAAAACAATTAGCTACTTCCTGAATTTGTTGAGCTAATTCTCTTGTAGGAGCTAAGATTAAAGCAATTGGACCATCTCCATTACTAAGTCGTGGTTGATGTATGATATGTACAATTGCTGGTAAAACATACTAAAATATATAAAAAATAAAATTAACATAAAATATCTTAATAATAGAATCAATTTATATAAATTCATTAAAACTTAATTTGTATATTATAAATATATTATATATTATATATTCTAATATCTAATAAAAAAAACGTCTTTACATTTTTACAAATTAAAAATTAATGTATCTTTAATCTGGCTCACTCCTAGTGTTTTTCCAGAGCCAGTTTGAGCAATGGCAACTAAATCTCTGCCACTAAGTGCAATAGGCCATCCTTGTGCCTGAATTGCTGTAGGTTGAGAATATCCTTGTTTATGTATTTCTTCCAAAACATAAGGTGGAAAATTTCCTTCTTCAAAATATTGTATAGGATTAGGTATATTATCACCTTTTATAGTTATTTCTGCATTTTCTCGAAATTGGCATACTTCTTCTTTTGATCTAATATAAAGTTTATTGAATTACATTGAAATATTTTAATTAAGAAAAGAAAATTATGAAAAATAAAATTTTTACCTGCTTCTAACCGTAGGATGTTCTATGTAAAAATCTTTGCGTAAAGGTTCTAAAGATCTTACATCCCAATTGATTTTTCTAAGGGCTCCTCCAGGTTGTTTATTTTTTATAATACCTCTAAGAGTGTTAGTAGTACCTCTACCACGTATACCAAATCTACTAATACTACTTCCACGAATATTATCATTATTTCCTCTATTGTTGCCTCTACCACCACCACCTCTGCGACCTCTATTATGATCTCTGTCTCGATTGAACCTGAATACATAATATATCATATAAAATAATTATATATAATTATATATAAATTATTATTATTATTATATTATAAATTATTAATAGTTAATATCATAACAAATGTTAGATTTAAAATAAAAATTACTA